AACGAAGCAACATAGGGTGAAAGCGCGAGACAGGGGAGAAAGGTCGAGCACGGGAGGGACGGCGAGACCAGACGTGAGACGGAGGAGTTGGGTCAGGGGACAGAGGAGGGGACACAAGAGGGGAACGAGGGGGGAACCGGGCCGGAGACGAGTCCGGAGGAGGGAACACAGGGCCGTAGACTAGAGGAGGAGGAGGCACAGGGTCAGGGGACGGAAGGCCGAGCAGGCGAAGAGCGGACACCGCCGGGGAATGCTGCGGCGACGATGTGACACCGACACCGGGACCGCAAGCTGCCTGGCGGCTACCTCCAGAACACTCCACGCCAGCACCCCAAGAGGGAACACCCCCAGAGCTCAGAACCCCTCGAGCACCGGTACCACCCCCAGGCCTTCCAGGACAAGCCACGAAAGGAGTCCCAGGACTAGTACCCACCCCAACTCCAGCACCCCCAGAGGCAACGAACTGCTGCGGCGACGGCTGCGGCGGCGGCGGCTGCAACGACGGCGGCGGCGGCGGCGATGACGACGGCTGCGACAGCGGTGGCGACGGCGGCTGCGCAGGCGGCGGAGGAGGAGACACTTGAGAAGGGGCAGGCGGCAAGGACTGCACCACAGGACCACCAGTGTCAACAGACTCCTCAAGCGGGACAACCGACTTAAGTGAGGTGACGTGGGACACACCAGAGGGGGCATGACGGGGAGGGGGAGGAGGAGGGGCGGCGACGACCGGGGAAGGGGTGACCAGGAATAGGGGGGGGGTAACCGGGGGACCTTGGTGGGGGAAGCGGCGGAAGAAGGAGACGGACTCGTCAAAGGTGACATCATGGGAGTGAAAGAACCGGTGAGACGGCGGGTGCTAGAAGTGCCAGTCAGACGCGTCAAGGGGGAAGCCGAGGAAGACACAAGGAAGGGTGCGGGCAGTGAGCTTGTCCGTGCTTGAGGCCCGAACGTGAGCAAGGCAGCCCCAGACGTGGAACGCAGACGCGTCACCAGGTGACCCAGACCAGAGGAGGGTCGGCGAAACCTGAGGCTGCTGGGGGTGCGGCCACAGGTTATGCTGGTGAGCGGCGTAGCGAACGGCGAACGGCCACAGAAAATGGGGTGCCACGGCATGGATCATGGAGGTGCGAGCCACCTCCATGACCAAACCGATGCGTCGCTCAACGACCCCATTCTGCTGCGGGGAGTCCGGCAAGGTGAACGTCTGGGTGATGCCCTCCGCACGACAGAAATGACCAAGGACACCAGAGGCAAACTCGCCACCACGGTCGGAGTGGAGACGCAAGACAGGGAGACCTCGGTGGACACGCGTAGAGACAAGCCACAGGATAAGAACGGCAGGCACGTCGGCCTTCCGCTCCAAGGGGATCACAGTGGTGTAGCGTGTGTAGTCGTCGACAAGCACTAGGAAGTAACGTCGGGGCCCCAGACGTCCATGTGCAGAGTCTGTAGCGGTGCTCCAGTAGGGGGAAATGAGGAGGAGTGAGGGGCACGGCGCAGCCGGCCCTCGACACAGGGCGTGCAAGGTGGGGCTGGGAAGGAGGGAATCTCGGGGAACGACCCGGGGAGGCCTAGGACGAGACCGTGCTGTGACATGTGACGCAGACGCGGGAGCGCAGAGTGACCTAGGCGGTGGTGCTAGAGAAGAGTCGGGTGAGTGAGAGACCGACAGGAGCAGGCAGCAGCAACCGGGGGAGACGCAGTCACCTGAGGGGGGGTCACAGACGGGGGGGTCACCATGTCCAGTGTGAAAAGACCGGACACCGGGTCCCATGGGAACGTGGACGGGGGGGCACCAGTGGCGGCCTTGGTACAGACAGCATACCGCTCGTGTCCAGGGAACGTAGTGGTGACGCCAAGGTCCTGAAGGCAACCGACACCAACTAGGTTCCTGGAGAACGAGGGGATGTGCAGTCCTGTAAGAGAGCCCGAAGGAACCGCCGGGCAAGGGAGGGTGGTGGAACTGCGGGCGACTACTGGGCCGGAGGAGGGGTCGGCAAGAGAGACTGTGGCAAGGACAGGAAGCGGTTTCAACGTGGTGGAGTCGCGGAAGAAGCACCGGGAAGCGCCAGAGTCGAGGGTGAAGGAGAGCGCGGCAGTGGCGGCCGGAGGCGAAGCAGCGACGGAAGCACCAAGGCTAAACAAAGCAGGGAATCCTACGCCTGACGCAGCAGGGGAGTCTAAGCAAGGGGTAATATGACGGAAGCACACTAGAGTCATCACCATACATTACATGCAGAGCAGTAACAATCTCATCTATATCCATATCAAAAATCTGAACCCTACGACGAAGCAAACTGTGCCAGTCTGGGAGCTCGGGCGACAGACCGAAACGCTGACGAAACAGGTCGTCCAAGCGACGGAAACAGCGGACGGAGGTGTGACCGAACTTACCGCAAACGAAGCCACGGCGAGGACCGGTCTAGAGCAGGTACTGACAGCGCGCGTCACCTGAACCACCACCCGGCAGCCCACCATGCGCACCACCACCACGTCCAGCGCTACCACCAGCGCCAGGCCACTTGAGCGGGAAACCACTCGCCCGTCTCTGCTGAGGCTGCGACTACTGCGGCTGACGCGAGTCCGGCTGCAACGCCGGCGGCTGCTGGGACGGCTACTCGGTTGCACCTGGCAGGGTCCCCTTGTCCGCACCACCACCAGGAGACCCAGCTCCAGCACCACCTATACCTGCACCCCCACCCCCGCCGCCACGCCCAGCCTTGGGGCGGCGACCCTTCCCCGGACGGACCTGTGCTGCAGCGGCAGTCTCAGCCACAGCAACAGAATCGTCAGAGAAGGTGCACTGAGCGGGGGCGCAACCCTGAAAGATAGGGACCGGCACAGTACCGCTGGTCTGAGCGATAAAGTGGTGGCGGGCCTCTATAGCGGACAGGGTGTCAACAAAGTCAGTGAGGGTGAGGTCTGCAGGGTGGACGCCAAGGAAGTGGTCACGGGTAGTGGCAAGACGGTCAGGGAGGCGGGTGGCTAGCAGGTAGAGAGTTGAGGTGAGGGGCGACTGGTGGGCTAGAAGCTGTGTGGGAGTGCAGGCAGCACGCCATGTCTCGTCTATAGTGCGCAGGTGAGCGGTCAGGTCGGCGACAGTGGGGAACGACGCAAGGTCAGGGAAGAGCATGGGGAGGATCAGACGACCGACCGAGGCAGCAGGCGGGGTGGAATAGCGCTGGACAACAGCATCTAGGAAAGTCTGGGCAATGGTGATAGGCCTGAAGCGAGGTCGCTCGGACAGGGGGAGGGCATTGCTAATGGCAAGCTGTGTGACAGCGTCACGGGACAGCCAGACAGAGCGAGCAAGGGCAGTGGCCGCAGCGGACTCACGCTCAGCGGACGAGGGATCAGTAGACAGTGCAGCGGGGGGGTCAGGGCAGGGGAGAGTACCGTCAAAATGGACTGACAGAGAGTGGCCATCCTGCCGCTGACCAGTGAGGTGGCGACGGAGGTCAGCATGCCACGCATCAAACTCAATCGGCTGGCCCTCAGCGTCAAAGCGAAGCACCTCCGCCATCAGTGACAATAGAGGGCAGTGGAGAGCAGTACAGTGCGGTGCAGTGCGGTACAGTGCGGTGCAGTGCGATGAAGTGCGGTGCGGTGCGATGCAGTGCAGTGCGGTACAGTGCGGTGCAAGGCGGTCTAGTACGGTACCGGGGGGTTCGCAGGGCAGTGCTGATCGGGAGGAATGGGCCGAACCCGAGGCGGCGGCGGGCTGGCGACGACGCGAATGCAGGAGCCGGCCGGCGGACGGCAGACGCGAGGGGCCAGCAAACGGCAGCAACGGGGGCCGGCGAGGAGCTGGCGCGACAGCGAGTAGGGCCAGCCACGACGGCGAGGAGGCACGGCCGCGACGGCGGCCAGGGACAGCCGCGACGTCGGCTAGGGGCGGCCGCGACGGCAGGAGTGACCGTGAGGCAGCTGGAGACGGCAGCGACAGCAGCTAGGGGAGGCCGCGACGGCGAGGGGGCGGCCGTGAGACAGCTAGGTGCGGCCATAGGACGGCACGAAACGGGCGCGACGGCCAGAGGGGGGGGGGGGGGGGGCGGCTAGGGACGAGCGCGACGGCCAGGGGGCCGGCTAGGGACGGGCGCGACAGCCAAGGGGCCGGCTAGGGGCGGACACGACGGCCAGGGGGGCGGCTAGGGACGAGCGCGACGGCCAGGGGGGCGGCTAGGGACGAGCGCGACGGCCACGGGGCCGGCTAGGGACGGCGCGACGGCCAGGGGGCCGGCTAGGGACGGGCGCGACGGCCAGGGGGCCGGCTAGGGACGGGCGCGACAGCCAGGGGGCCGGCTAGGGGCGGACGCGACGGCCAGGGGGCCGGCTAGGGGCGGACGCGACGGCCAGGGGGCCGGCTAGGGACGGGCGCGACGGCTAGGGGGCCGGCTAGGGGCGGACGCAACGGCCAGAGGGCTGGTTAGGGGCGGACGCGACGGCCAGGGGGCCGGTTAGGGGCGGACGCAACGGCCAGGGGGCCGGCTAGGGACGGACGCGACGGCCAGGGGGCCGGCTAGGGGCGGACGCGACGGCCACGGGGCCGGCTAGGGACGAGCGCGACGGCCAGGAGGGCCGGCTAGGAGTGGGGCACGACGGTGGCTAGGGCCTAGGGGGCGGAAGCGTGGGCGGGCTAGAGGGGAACCTAACCTACTATGATACCATATCAGAAAGAATAATTGAACTAGAATGTGTTTGTACAAGGGTATATAGACTAGGGTGTTGTTCCCTCTAAGGCACAATCCAGTAGTCTACAATAATGACATAAGTTACATTTGACATACAGTTCTGCGATAAACTTTCGTCTGTTTTTTCAGACGCATCAATTGTTTTCATCTGAAAAATCAGACTTGTGAAAATTTTCCGTCTGAACGTCAGACGAAGGCAAAAAAAATTGGTCTGAATATCAGACAAGCCTAAAAGTTAGCAAGGACCCTGGACAGCGCCCTCACATGCAGTGCAGTCACATTCACTTGGACACATCTTTCATGGACGATATATTCACTTGGTCACATCTTTCAGTGTACCGGTATACAGTAAGTGCGTCCTATTGCCCATCAACATGATCCCTCTGCCTTGCTTGCTATTATCGTTACAGTGCAGCAGGCTTATGAGGCGCTGATGGCGTCATGGTACGGTACAGTCGTATTATTTTGCTGCCTCTAGTAACCTTAGGATTCGCTGCTATCCCTACCACCATGCTAGCGCATTAGCATTGCGCCATCTGCTCGTCTTCGTCAAATCAACTAGCACCACAAGTGCCTCCTGTACCCACTACCCCTTGGGCAGCCCACCCTTTCCCCCTCCTCCTCTTCACACCCGTCACACAACGCCGTTCTCTCTCCGCCACGTTTCGTAGAAGAGGTCGACCCAGGTGTCGGGGAGGCCGGGCATGCAGGGGTGCAGGCAGTCCTGGGAGCGGGGGCGCTGCGAGGCGAGCATGGCGTCGGAGCGGAAGAGCGAGGGGTGCGTGATATCCACCAGGCGGATCGTGCGGCTGCCCTTGAAGATGCCCGCCTGCGCCGGGTACCACACGCGGCTCTGCGAATTGTTGCGCTCAAAAAACTTATACTGTGGGGAGGGGGGGGGAAGGGGGGAGGAGAGTGCGGTTTGGGGGGGGGAGGGAAGGGGGTGGGAGATTGGCAGAGAAAAGAGGGCGCGAGGGGAACTGCAGTGTGCGATGTATGCCATGCATGACAGTCTCGCGGTAAGCCTCAGGCCCCAGCATGCGGCGCTGGCATGCGCTCAAGTAGCGCCACAGAAGAGAAGCACCCATGATGCGTCTCTTGCGCATTCCCCATTCATTCCCCTCGCCATCTCTGCTCCGCTGTCGCCCTTGTCCCCTTGCCCCAACACACGGCTGTGCCCCCCTCTCTGCCTCCCCCTCCTCTCCCCTCCCCTGCCCCCTTCCCCAGCGCACCATTTGCGGCGAGCTGATGGTGGAGGCGCCCTGGCAGCCAGCGAGGCGGGGCGGCGCGGAGAGGAAGTACATGGGCGGCAGGTGCCACCGCTTCACGCTCTTCGCGTCGAACGTGCGCGCCAGGCGGCGGAGCGCCATCCTGCGGAGAAGGAGACGCGCGTGCGTGACGGGAGGGGAAGGGGATGCGGCGGACGATGAGGATGCGGCGAGGGAAGGCAGGGCCGTGGGGGAGAGCGTGAGGGATGGAGATGGACGCGGCGAATGCCGCATGGGCGACGAGCAACGCCACTGTTTAGGCATCAGGACGCAAAGCAACGGGACTGCTATGCATCTAGTTTTGCAGCACCTCACAAGCGCACTCGCAGGTCCGCACGGGAACGTACTTGTAGGCCTGCACGGTGCCGGGCTCGGGCTTGATGAGCTGCCACTTGCGGTTCACGAAGAAGCGCCGCAGCCACGTGTTGGCGTGCGGCCAGTGCGTGGCAGACTGGAAGACGACGAGGCCGAAGCGGCCGATCTTGTCGAACCACGTGGGGTCGAAGGTGTGCAGGTTGACGGCCGTGTCGCCCAGCCCGGGGTTGGTCACCTTGATGCGGCGCAGCACGTCGTTCTGCGTGGAGTACGCCATGAGGAACGGGCTCCAGTAGTTGACCACCGTCACGTTGTACCCCGCCACGCGCCACACGAACTTGCTCAAACCGTCGTCCGCCACCTTGGTCACCTTCGCCACGGTGTTGATCTGCACCGCGGGATACCACGGCCGTGCGTGGGGCACGGGGGGCGGGGAGAGGACATGGTGGAGTGAGCTGGTGGGTCCAAGTAGCGAAGCGTGTGAGGCGAGACAATGCGCGGGCACGCGCGCGAGCGGAAGGGAGGAGGCGAGAGCAGAGATGGTTATAAAGCTGGCAGCGCGGAGACGGACGGCTCACCTGGCAGAGCAGCGAGGGCAGGAAGCCCTCGTACATGAGCGAGTCGCCCACCATGGCGATGGACCTGCGCAAGACGCCGACGAGGCAAAGGGGAAGGCGATGGGCCGAGCGGGCCAGGCAGCGAGGCAAGGTGAGGAAGAGTCGCTTGTCTCGGCTTACGACGCGCGCAATGCGGCAACGCATGGTCCCAAGCGGGTTGGCTCTATGTGGCTAGGAAACTCACTTGTTCCGCATGCGATTCAAAAACTTGGTCGGCGAGAATCGTACTGTGCGCCCTCCACAGTTGCGAGGTTTCCAAGAATAATACTGCACATCCCCGATACAAGCACGATGCAGCCATGATTGAATACGTAGTAGCCGGGTTATGTTGAAAGGCGAACAAGTGCTGGTGATGAGTGGCGCGTGAGGGGAGAGGGATCATGAAAGCATGGCCGCATGGCAGCACGGACGTACCAGCCAGCTGGGGTTGCGTTTCCTCTTGGGGTCAAGACAATTGGTGGTGGGGGCGACGTCCTGCACAGGCCAGCACGGCAAGTCAACGCCATTCAGCGCAGTCCGGCGAGTCAGATCGGGGATAGCGAGCACACAGCACGCATTCAAGCCAGCAGCGCCCCGTGCGTTCAGGGGCTGCCGTTATCCACTCCCGCGCGGGTCACAGCACGCTGCAACCCACCGCGCCGATGCGAGCAAGAGAAAACATACGATTTTCACGTGCTAAATTCGAGAGGTGGCGCATTGAGCAGCACACCTTGAGGAAGGGACAGGAGGTCATGTCGTAGGCGGGGCGGTTAGCCCGGTCGGCGACCCACGAGCCGTCGTAGATGTCGCAGCTCGAACCCGCCGCCTGCGTCGTCGCCACCTTGGGCTTGCCGCCCTCCGTCGCCTTCAAAGGACTCTCCGACGGCGGCGACGGCGGCGGCGGCGGTGTCTCGGAGCTGCTTTCAACGGAAACGTCGCTATCCTGGGCGCTATCGTCGCTGCTGGCACTGCTGCTGCTGCTGCTGCTGCTGCTGATGCTTCTGGTGGTGGCGGTGGCGGCGGTGGCGGAGGGCGAGTCGGCGGAGAGCAGCGTGGGCATGTTGGCGAGCATGAGCTCCTGATCAAACGCGTCGCCGCGCTCACTGAGAGCGTCGCCCGCGGGCACGTCGCCCGAGAGGCCGTGGCTCACCGGGGCGGCTATGAGGAGGAGCGCAGAAACTAGTGCAACGCACCGCCATCTGAACGCGTGTGAGGACCTCATTGGCGCACCACTTATCAATCAAGGAAAGAAGGAAAATAATCGACGAGCGTTGCGCCTCACGCCACGGCGCAAGTTCTAGATAGAGATACGCAGAGCACTAGAAAGCTGAAGGACCAAAGGACGGCTGTACGATTGTGTGAGAAACGTATGGGAGATGCATGAGCTATCACGTATGGGAGTCGTGCCTTGGTTTATCACAATAGCTGGGGATCTACATTGCTGGGATGGGAACACTTCAATTCGACATGCCACTGACGGGGTGCGAATAAACGACTGTTTGGGAAACATACACCATCGGATCGCACCGCATGTGCGGTTCGAGGCTGGGCATTGGAGTGTGTGCAACTAGCGGTGAGGCATGGACAATCGCACAAGGCGAGGCGTCAGGTTTGAAAGCTGGGAGCGCAACCCATCACAGGCCCAACGAGACTTCGCCAATAAATTGGCGGGCTCGCGCAAATAGTACTTCGCGTCGGTGCAGAGGTGGTAGCCTGACTTTGCGAAGTGTTTTTTGGCGAAACTTTGCCGCAGCTGCGATGGCAGAGACATTGGGATAGAGCATTTTGCGAACGACTTCTCCCGCTCGCGGACAAACGCCACAATCGGAGGGTGCTCTTGACCGCGGGTACAGAGTGTAGATAAAATACTTACAGGTGTATACGATTTTCACTTTGATCCTAAAGTGTGACATGCCCACATTTCCACTGTTCCCCTTACAGGAGCGAACATAGTTCTCCATGTGCACCTGGATTCTACAGAGCATGTTCCTGCTCCCGTTCTGATAGTCTTGAGCTTCAGCGGCCAGACCTTCCTTCACGCCGTTAACCTGCAATCGCTCCTGCACCCGCCTCCCGCCTCTGCTCCTTGGCGCCATTATACTCCGCCCGTCCCACTCGCCACCACTGCGCAGAACGTAACATGGCTTCTGCCGTCCGTCCGCTCTGAATGGCTGGCCGGCATCGGAGGCATGGCCGGCATAGGCGACGTGAGTTATCAGGGCGTGGTGGCTGCTCAACTGCCACCACCGTGTGACGCGTCCTCGCCGCAGCAGCACAACGCGGAACTCCGCCCATCCTTCCCGCACTTGGCGCTGCCCGCTCATGCGCTCCCTCGCTGGATCCCTCACATCCCCGCGGCTGGGAGCGACCCCGCCGCCTTGCGAGCAATCGCAAACTGCCGCGTGGCATGCGATGGCAGCGCGCCATGGGGCTATGGGTCTCAGGCTACACAAGCGGCTAGGGCGGAAGGCACAACAGGGAGGGCGGAGAGGGAGGGGCTGGCGGAAGGCAGGGCGGGGAAGAACAGGGATCGGCGGGAGAATAAGCGGCAGAGGGGCGAGAACGAGGGAGGCAGGGATCGCTGGGGAAGGGTGACCAGTGGTGGGAGGGGTGGGGCGGCAGACAGGGAGGGACGGGGAAAGGGACAAGGGAGAAGCAGTTACGCGGCTGGAGGCAGAGAGCGGGAGGGGGGGAAGGGCAGGGCGGGGAGAGGTGGGAAAGGGCGTGGAATGCAGGGCGGGGCAACGAGCAAGGCAGTGGCGCCGCTGGCCTTCCCTGCCACGTGCCCGCTGTGCCCCGACGTGGTGCTGACGTCACTGTCCACCCTCCACTCGCATATCACAGGTCGCAAGCACCAGGCCGCTGTTGCTGGCTGCGTGCTCGTGGGGCAGGGGCAGGGGCAGGGGGGGCAGGGGCCTGGGGACAAGGGACAGGCAGACAGGCAGAGGGGGCAGGGGGAGGGCGGAGAGGTGAATGGGGGAGGTGAGGTGGGGGGTGCGGGTGGGCGGGGCGGGATGCTAGGGGAAGCGTGGAGGGGGTATGCGGATGCAGATGGGGGCGAGGGACACAGCGGTGGCGATGGCAGGCTTATAAGGCATGGGGGGGATGAGGGGCGTGGGGGCCACAAGGGGGGTCGGCCATGGTCGGATGAGTGGCAGCAGGAGGAGAAACCGTTGGTGGGGTTGTGGGATGATGGCGGTGTGAAGGAGCAGGTGAAAGTGGAGGTGGTGGAGATAGATGAGGCAGAGGAGAAAGAGGAGGAGGAGAGTGTTGTGGTTGCAGGACGGAGGAAGAGAAAGAGGGCAGTGGGGTGTGTGAGTGTGGGGCCACCGTTTGTGGGGGGGTGGTGTGAGGTGTGTGGGGCGACGTGCCTGAATGAGAGCAACTTCAAGTTCCACCTCAAAGGCAAGCGCCACCACGCTGCCCTCGCTGCCAACTTCTCATGGTGCTGACGTTGGTGCTTCCATTGTTGTGCTGATGCTAGTTGCTAGTGTTGCTGTTAGTTGTGTTGCCATGCCACATCCCACATTGCAGCTTGTTGGAAATACCTCGAAGACTTGAGCGTTTCTGAAGTGTACGGTAACACTACACTTGAGGAAAGTCGTATCGAGTACGCGAGTCAACGGAGGTTACACAAGGATGTTGGACGAAAGAACACGAAAGGACGAAGGGACTCGAAGGGTCGCAACCGGAGGTTGCGACTGACAGTTACGACTGCAAGGGTGGTAACCGAACCGACAATCGAGACGCTGTGCGACTCGATAACCGTTCCTTCAACTGTATTCTACAACTGCTTCATCTCTTATTTTCTATATATTGCTGTATGCTTGTTTCTTTTAATCAATCACTTGCTCTCACATACTAGTGCAAGGGTTCAACTACTCAACACTTCCGTTGCACTACTCAAGCATCTTGCACAAGTGGGACTTAGTCTCTGAAAAGATCCCAAGGGCATTTTCTCAGCCCAACATGGTATGAGAGCTGGTCAGAGACCAAACTCCCATCAACGACATTCTATCTACAGTCAGCATATCAGAACTTCATTGATTACAAGTCATGGACAACAAGGGCAAGAAGTCTTCTACGGGCTCACCCAGCGGCCAAGACACTCAACCCGGCATCTATGGACTACACACTTCAGGACTACAAACTGAGACCGGCGCTGCTCAAGAAACAACAGGAAGGGTACCAGAAATGGTGACCCCTTCACCCTCTTCAGGCGTGGACCCGAACCTTATGGAAAGGTTCTTCAGCTTCATGTCGCACTTTGACCAGCACCAGCAGACAAGGACACCTGCGCATTCAACACAGAGCAACGGGGGAAATATGGGATTAGCACCAATGATTCTTGACAACTCATCATTCGGGCGGCACAATCAGGCACCTACCATTGCGCCTTATCACTCTTCACCAGGGACGTTCGAGTTCATGCCGCCCCGTGCTCAACCGACAGCAGCTGCATCACAACAGACACCAAACGAGATATTGGGTCTCCAGGCGCACTTTTCACATGTGATCAAACTGCAGACATCTTCCCCATTCAACGGGCACGACTTCTTTACCTAGAGTTTTGAGTTCAAGTTGCTGATGGAGGCCGCGCACCTCTTGGGATACTTCAACGGGTCCCTGCCATTCCCAAGTAATGGTACTGCAAAGGAGCAGGAAATCTTCACTTATCAGTCGCTGCTGGCGTACACAGTTCTTCTGCGAAATCTGTCACCACAAGAGCAATAGAGCATCATAACGTATCGGAGCTACGGAAACTCCGCGGAACTCGCCTGGCATCACCTGAAGTGTCTCTATCAAGCAAATGACAGCGTGACACAAAGCAGATTCATGCAACAGTTGACCACAATACAAATGAAGACCGGGAAAAAAGCGATGCAGTATATGAGTCGCTGTCAGACACTCCGCGACCGCCTGCTTCGGTGCGGAGGGACAATCACTGAAGAAAGCTTCGTGACACTTGTCCTCGCCGGGCTCGGGCTAGAATGGAGAACCACCCGCTCGCTTCTTCGCGCCCACGGACGAATCTCCGAGATGCACCTCTGCGCCGAGCTTCATGCCGAACAGCAGGAGATGGATCTGTTTGAGGAAAGACAACCACGGAACAAGCAGCAGCCATTAGTCTTCTACACTCAAAGAAGAAACGACAACAACTACAACCGACGCGATAAGCACAGTCGATATGACACAAGAGGTCTCACCATCATGCCGCCGTTCTGCCACAATTGTCAGACATCCGGACACTCCAAGGTTAACTGCACGTGCCCTCGAGTTTATCGTCCAGCAGATCCTCAAGTCGCCTCAAATCAAGAGAATCCGCCAAGTCGCTCCTCCACACGTGCACGAGACACACCAAACATCATCAACTGCATGGTACGGATGGACAGCTGCAAACCCGAGTCACCACCCACTTACTCTCAAGACGAAGAGGAACTGCCACTGCCACAATCACAAGGTCTCAAGGCCAACCCAACGTACGCTGCAGTCGCCAACGCCGAACCCACCGGGCGAAACACCTGGTTCTTTGACAGTTGCTACGGCCAACACATGTGTTCTTCTGGGCGCTTCGTGCAACGGGAACGACGCCTAACCTGCGATGTCATCATCACCGTCGCCAACAATGAGAAGGAGTGGTTCAACTTCAGTCAATGGAGACAAACCTCATACTACAACTCAACAAAGTTCTCATCGTCGACAACTTGGGATACAATCTAATAAGCGTCAGCCAGTTAATGACGAAGGGGATTCACTTGGAATGCGACTCGGACGCCAACGAATCTCGACTTTACCACGGGAAGGGCGGCTCTTTATCGGTCGCGCTCTCCTGAAGTCGGGCGTCTTCGTGCAAGACTTTGTCCCCGACCGCGGAACTGCCGACAGCGACAGCATCGTGTCATTTGCTGCCTGGACGCATCCGCCAGATCTTGGCCCCGATTTCACTCCATACGGATTCTGGTACTCCAACACCATCCCTGCAGCAGAGAGAACACGAGCATTAGCAGTCATCCGACAAGAACGACAAGTACCAGCAAGCGTCCCTCACCCAACATCACCTGCTCTAGCAGCAGCAGGACCCAGCCGTGCGCCACCACCAGCAACCCGAGGACCGCCATCCCAAGCAGATCAACTCATGCCCATCGCCCGAGGAGTCTGCCGCAGTCCCGCCACAGTCGTCTTGTTCTTCTCCAACGCCGACATGTACCAATGCTCACCCGGCCATCGCGCTCCCGACTACATCTAGCATCAACGCCTCGGACATCCTGCAAACAACACAGTACTACAAACCATACAAGCCGGAGTATTAGAAAGGACGCTCTTCTCACAACAAGCGGCCAGGAGCTTCGACGACCCCGCGCACGATGCTTCACGTGCCCCGAAAGCTGATCTTCCCCACCAACCTTTCCCGTCGCACCACAACCCAAGTGCACTTGCATACGAACCGATGAAAAAAGTCTACAGCGACATCTTAAATATGCCTCGAGACGACAGTGAAGCGGACTACAACTATGTCATCACGTTAATTGACGCAGCAACACGATACGTCTGGCACTACAACCTCAAGACACGAGATCAAGCGTTCGAAGCCTTCACGACGTGGCTCCCCATCGCTGAACGAGAATCAGGCTCGCAACTAAAGAGTTTCCAGTCAGACGGGGCACTGGAGTACCAGTCACAACGATTCAGGAACTACTTGGCAGAAAGAGGCATCAGACGCCTTGTGTCTCTGCCCTACGCTCACCAGCAGCAGGGGGTCGCAGAGAGGATGAACAGAACCTTGCAGACGACGATGCGGAAGCTGCTCCTGGGGATGAGAGTGCCCAACACGCTTTGGCCTAAAGCGATGACGCATGCAGTCCACCTGCACAATTTGCTGTCCTCGTCATCACTTCCCAACAGCGCATCACCACACCTGCTGTGGACAGGAAAGCAGGGCAGCACAAAATTACTTCGAGTCTTCGGTTGCATGGTACAGTACAGACCCCACACAGCCCGAGCAGGTCGATTCTCTCAACGCGCACGGTGGGGACTACACCTCGGCATCGCAAAACATTTCCAAGCATGGAAACTTCTCGACATTCATGACAAAACCACAGTGGCCTCAGGTGATGCAATTTTCTACGAGCGACTGACGCTGCAACATTACCTGGCCCCACCGACGGCTTCAAGGGCCATCGGTCCTTCGCCGACCGTGCTGCCGAAGCTGACGCAGCAGAAGAAGACGTACCTGAAGCCTCGGAAGCTGCCGGACCACTCCCTTACTGCTCCGTACCCGTTCCACTCGACGACGACAATCCTCTCGATAGTAACAACCTCGACACCTATTACCACTTCGCTGACCAAGGTTACACTACACCTCAACCGGTCGACACAAATATCTCTGAACGCATCAGACCCAATTTCTTACCTGACCCCGAAGATGATGACGAAGCAGCTTATCCCGAGAATGAAAATTCCCCTCGACACACACCCACGGGCCTGCAGATACTTGGACTCTGGGTCGCCGTCCAGAGCCCGCCGCCGTCGTCGCAGCGAGAGCCAACGACTCTGTCGCAGGCACTTAGGGGGGAACACTAGGCGAAATGGAAGGAAGCAATGGAAAAAGAACTGAAGGCCCAGCAAGACCGAAATACGTAGAAGCTGGTACCTGCAACAAAAACCAACGGGAAGAATGTGCTCTCGGGGAAATGGGTGTACCGCATCAAGACTAATGCGGATGGCTCCATCGACCGCTTCAAGGCTCGCTGGGTCGTACGAGGATTCGACCAGCGATACGGAACCGACTACACAGAGACATTCGCCCCAGTCTCCCGACATACCTCCCTGCGCATTCTGCTCACCGTCGCGGCCATGAAAAAACTACGCCAAATCGATGTCGCCAACGCCTTCCTGTACGCACCTGTGGACGCCGAAATCTTCGTCGAGCAGCCCCACGGATTCATCGACGATCCCACAAAAGTATGCCAGCTGGTAAAATCCCTCTACGAAATTAAACAAGCCCTGCGGCTCTAGCAGCAGCACCTTCACAACCGCCTCATAAGGATCGGTTTTCTGCAGCTGCCACACGATCAAGGCATGTACCAACTACAAAAGGGGGGGGGGCTTCGTCCTACTCATCCTCTACGTCGATGACCTACTCTACGTTGGCTCCACTACCGACGTCGCCACCTGGTTCGAAGGGGAGCTGAGGAGTGACTTAACACTCACGTTGTCGGACACCGTGAGCCAGTACCTAGGTCTAAACATCGCCGAAGACGATTCGGCGTTCCACCTACACGCTGGAAAATATGCAGGCGTTGTCGCGAAGAAATTCGGCCTAACGCCAGTCGTAGTCGCGACTCCCTATCGCTACGGGAACAACAGCGAAACCTCCGCAAAGCTCCCCACGAAGCAAACCCAGGAATATCAACAGAAGCTCGGCTGTCTACTGTTCGCAGCAGTAACCTGCCGACCGGATCTGTCCTACTATGCGAGCCAACTGGCAACACACCTGAAGCAGCCGGAACAAGAGGATCTCGAGGAACTAAATCGGGCACTGCTCTACTTCGTCTCTACGCCGACAACCGGACTTACCTAAAGCAAAGTAACGCCATCGTCCGTACAACTACTCGGCTATGTCGACGCCGACCACGCGGAAGATAGGGAGAATAGTCGCTCCATAACGGGCTACATCTACCGACTAGAGCCTATCGGTACTATTTCCTGGCAATCGAGCAAGCAGGAACTAATCGCGCTATCCTCGGCTGAAGCGGAATACATCGCCCTCTACTTTGCGACCAAAGAAGGACTTTACCTGCGGGAGCTGCTCGAGGAAGCGAAAAATGCGACCA